AAAACCAGGCAAAGGCACCACAAATAAAGAAAATTACAGACCAATATCCCTGATGAACATAGACAGAAAAATCCTCAAAAAAATCTTAGGAAGCCGAATTCAAAAATACATCAAAAAGATCATCAATAATGATCAAATAGGATTTATTCCATGAATGCAAGGATCATATGATTGTCAAAAACCATCAACATAGTACACCACATCATCAAAAAGAAGGACAAAGGTCACATGATCATCTCCATAGATGCTAAAAAAGCATTTGAAAAAATTCGACATGTATTCATTATAAAAACTCTCAACAAAATGGGTATGGAGGGCAAATACCTCAACATAATAAAGGCCATATATGAAAAACCCACAGCCAACATCATACTTAACAGCAAAAAGCTAAAAGCTTTTCATTTATGATTGGGAACAGTACAAGGATGCCCACTCTCTCACTTTCATTTAACATAGTACTGAAATCTTAGCCACGGCAATCAGACAACACAAAGAAATAAAAGGCATCCAAATTGGTAAGGGAGAAGGTAAACTGTCACTGTTTGCAGATGACATTGTATTGTACATAAAAAACACTAAAGAATCCACCCAAAAACTACTAGAACTAATAACTTAATTCAGCAAAGTAATAGGATACAAAATTAATACACAGAAATCTGTTGCATTTCTATATACTAATGATGAACTAACAGGAAGAGAAATCAGGAAAACAACTCCATTTATGACTGCATCAAAAAGAGTAAAATACCTAGGAATAAACCTAGCCAAGGAAGTGAAAGAATTATACCCTGAAAACTACAAACCTTCATGAGAGAAATTAAAGAAGTCATCAATAAATGGAAATACAATCCATGCTTATGGATAGGAAGAATTAATATTGTCAAAATGGCCATCCTGCCTAAAGCAATCTACAGAGTCAATGCAATCCCTATCAAAATACCAACAGCATTCTTCAACGAACTAGAACAAATCATTCTAAAGTTCATATAGAAACACAAAGACTGTGAATAGCCAAAGCAATCCTGAGAAGGAAGAATAAAGCTGGGAGAATTACCCTCCCTAACTTTTAGCTCTACTACAAAGTTACAGTAATCAAAACAATTTGGTACTGGCACCAGAACAGACCCATAGATCAATGGAACAGAATAGAGAGCCCAGATATAAACCCAAGCATATACATCCAATTAATATATGATAAAGGAGCCATGGAAATACAATCGGGAAAAGACAGCAAATTCAACAACTGATATTGGCCAAACTAGACAGCTACATGTCAGAGAATGAAACTGGATTATTGTGTAACTCCATACACAAAAGTAAACTTGAAGTGGATCAAAGACTTGAATATAAGTCATGAAACCATAAAACTCTTAGAAGAAAACAGGCAAAAATTTCCTGAATATAAATATGAGCAGTTTTTTCCTGAACACATCTCCTCAGGGAAGGGAAACAAAAGCAAAATGAACAAATGGGTCTACATCAAACAAAAAACTTTCTGTACGGCAAAGGACACCTTCAATAGAACAAAAAGGTATCCTACAGTATGGGAGAATATATTTGTAAACAACATATCCGACAAGGGGTTAACACCCAAAATATATAAAGAACTCACATTCCTCAACACCCAAAAAGCAAATAACCTGATTAAAAAATGAGTATAGGATCTAAACAGACCCTTTTCTAAACAAGAAATTCATGTGATCAACAGGCACATGAAAAGATGCTCCACATCGCTAATTATCATGGAAATGCAAATTAAAACCACAATGAGATATCACCTCACACCAGTTAGGATGGCCAACATCCAAAAGACAAGGAACAACAAATTCTGATGAGGATGCGGAGAAAGGGGAACCCTCCTACACTTCTGGTGGATATGTAAATTAGTTCAACAATTATGGAATACAATATGAAGGTTCCTCAGAAAACTAAAAATAGAAATACCGTTTGACTCAGGTATTCCACTCCTAGGAATTTACCCAAAGAAAACAAGATCCCAGATTCAAAAAGACATATGCATCCCTATGTTTACTGCAGCACTTTTTACAATAGCCAAGATAAGGAAGCAACCTAAGTGTCCATCAGGAGATGAATGGATAAAGAAGAAGTGGTACATACACACAATGGAATATTATTCAACCTTAAAAAGAAAACAAATCCTGCCATTTGCAACAACATGGATGGAGCCAGAGGGTATTATACTTAGATGAAATAAGCCAGGCAGAGGAAGACAAGTACCAAATCATTTCATTCATTTGTGGAGTATAACAACAAAGCAAAACAAGAAACAAATCAGCAGCAGACTCACACTCCAAGAAGGCACTAGCAGTTACCAAAGGGGAGGGCTTTGGGAGGATGGGTGGGGTGATAGGGAGATGGGGATTGAGTGGCACTGTCATCAGCACACATAATGTTGGAGGTTCACGGGGAAGGCAGTAAAGCACAGAGAATACAAGTGGTGACTATACCATCTTACTATGCTGATAGATAGTGACTGCAGTGTGGTATTTATGGGGGACTTTATAATATGGATGAATGTAATAACCACAATGTTGCTCATGTGAAACCTTTATAAGATTGCATATCAATGATACCTTCATTAAAAAATCAGTAAAAAAAGATTACAGCTTTTTGTGAACAACTTTTTGTGGGTTACTTCATCAGTACAAGACAATAGGGTGATAAATTCATAATCAATTATATCAGCAAAACAATCATTCTAATGAGGTTATATTTCATCTTGTACCCTGACCATTTCAATAATTATTGATGAAACACAATATTTTAAGTCCAAAACTAAAAATCTATTCAAATAACCTTCTAGAGAATTAAATTTTATATAGATTATTATTTCTTTTATATTTAGTGAGATTATATGTCTTAGGACTTGCTTTTAGAAATTAAGTATACTGTTAACTTACTTAAAAAGCTGATTCTGTAGTAATGGATCTAATGTGATCCTATAAGCACATATGAAATTATCACTGTAGATACTTGGTGTGTAATGTTTGATTTGTGTTTGTGTGTGTGTGCACATGTGCCACTGAGGAATAGAGGAAGGTAATATTTTCATTTTTATTCTGCATTATTTCCACAATGATTTTTTTACAATTAGGATGAATTACTTTTATAACAATTGATATTTATGTTTAGAAAGACAAGAATTCAAGCCAATACCTACAAAAAGGACTGCAAACATCATAGTCTGGATAGTCTTGGGTAGTCTTCCCTTGCACAAAATCTCATTCCTATGTCTGGAAATTTGTTCTGAAGCTAAAAGGAAGGAGTGCTCTGCCTGGGATGGAATACTCAGAGGCTGTTTGGGGGTGTATCCTACCTGATAGGTCATAACTCTTACCCACTTTTCCTGACCCTCCCTCACTTCCCCTACTTCCTACCTATATTAGACTGTAGATTTACAAGGACAGGGACTACTCTGCTTATCCCTGTGTCCTCTGCAGTGCCTCATGTAGCCCCTGAATATAGTGATCATTCACTGTCTAACATTATGAAGTTAAAGGAATTAGTATCAACAGATATATAAGCAGCATTCAGTGACTAATTTTCCTCTGATCTTTTGGTTCAGTAGTATTATCATTTTTGTTTTAGCTATTTATTTCTCTTCCCTTCTTTAGGATCAGGAGCTACCTGGTTTTGATATAAACTGTCTGCAATGTTTCTTTGTTTACTGAAGGCCAACGTAAATGCCATCTATATAGATAGCTAGAGACAATATGGCTTAGTTCAAAGAGCATGTGCTTTGGAATCGAGTAGACATGGATTCAACTTTGGCTTTGTAATGTATTGGTTCTTTAACTTGGGACAAATCTTTATCTTATTGGAGCCTCAGTTTTCTAATTTCTAACAGCAACTATTTTTAGGGTGAGAGAATTTAACAGTATATGTAGATCCCTGGAGATAGTGGAAGCTTATTAAACACTCTTTTCCCAGTCTATCCCAGTTCCTCTGTCTCTCCTATCTCCATGCCCAAGTATTGTCAGATGCTTTCCTTTGGTCAAAAATCAAACCCTTTTAAGAGCTTCTTTAATTTCTTCAGGACAGTGGGGTGCTATCTAGATTGAGAGAGTGACTTCAAAGGAGAACTAAAAGGATCTTGGGAAATTTCATACCAAATGACACAAATAAAGAAAAGGGGAAAATGTACCATGTGTCCCAGCCCTTCTGTCTGAGCTTTAATTATAGACCTCAGATCTGCTCCACTGATGAAGCCCTGAGCTAAGTTCTTAATGCCTCTGCTCCTGCCCCTTCCGGTAGCTGCCAGGCGTCTCGTTCACAGCAAGTTCACATAGTCATTTGCCAAATTTATTTAACATTTGTTTAGAGCATGCATACCAGTATGTACCAGGCATTGCCATGAATGTTTAGCTCTGATCTACAGTTTATAAGAGTCCTTCCAAAGTTAAGTTCTTTTTTGGTTGGAAAAGTTGGCCACTCCTCACCTGCCCCACTTCCAGTCTTCCTGCTTACTAATATGCTCCTCAAAAACAACATCCTGGACTTGGGCTCATGTGAAATTCTGCTAATTTACACCCTGGCAGGAGATGACAGTCTTATTTATATATGTGTGGGTGGCTTATGTTTCTGTCTGGACATGCATGTTTATGCCTCTGACAGGGTGGGAAATGAAGATAGTCATAATTGGGACTGTTCCCTTCACAGCTCATACTCAGTATATAAAACTCATTTTTGGCCCTTTACTAGAAATTTCAGGAGGGACCTTGTGAATCCCAAGTAAAGAGATCTTCTGAGAAGATGATCTTGGGCAATGGGATTTTTCATGTTTTTATTCCATAATTTGCACTAATTTATTATATTCCCATATATTTTGTGGAGTATAATTTTTCCAAAAATAATATTTGTATATTAATATCAAAGATTTGTTTTTGCTTAAGTTCTCACTTTTAAAGTTTGAACACAGTATATTTATTTGTTTGTTTCCCCTTGAGTTAAGCTCATTTAATGAAATCCTGAATTCTTACCTTTTCATATGACTCTTGTTTTACTTTGCTGTAATTATTAGCTTTCCATGTGGCAGGTATTAAAATCTTTATATTTCTGAAAAACACTCTTCTCTTGGTAGCATTGAATAGGTAAAAAGAAGCTTCAGTTATCATTTCCTATAAGCAAATAAAAGTTTATTTGATTACCTGTTAATTCCTTATGTTTCAGTTTTCTGTTTATACTTGGATAAGTAGCAATGAAAAATAGTGAAAGTGGTTTGAGGAACCCATTCTATTTAAGGCTGAACTTACAAGTATGGCTTTAAACTTTGGGAAAACTTTGGAGCAAAATAAATACATTTCAAATGGTTATCTGGAAGAGATTTTAGGACACTAATTGTGAGTCTGGGCTTGCCTATATAACTTTCCCAATTTTGAGAAAGGCTTTTAAGCTTTTACCAAACAAATCCCTTTCCTGTCACAACTGTGGGCATGTTCAGCACCACACCTTCTGATGAAACTGATTTCACTGAAGCAATACCACAAGGCAACACGTAAGTAATGGAGCCATTACTTCACCTCACAGAACATTCGGAAGAAAAGAAAGAATTTTGCTCTTTGGCACACCATGCAGGCTCTCACTCTTTCAGTATGAGAATTCTCACCCTCAGGATGGAATCTGACAGCACAGTTTTAATAAGCACAGTCATGCTTATTCAACTAACATCTGGTCTTTATTGCCACAATGGGTTATTTTTTAAGCTGCTACCCCAAAAACAGTCATGTAGGAAACAAAAAAGCTAAAATTAGTTGTAACCAGCAACAAAAATTCATAGGGGGCTAGTTCAACACTGTGATCTGAGAATGCAAAGAATTAGGTGAACAAACTGGTTTGGCCATAATTATACTTTTTTGTGCCATCTTTAAGCAACGCTGCCCTCTTCACAGCTCAAATATGACCCAGGCAGGGTGGTTAGCCCTTCAAAGCAGCTGCATTCCTGTTCTAATGGGATAATGGTATTGACTTCTGCTTGCCACTCACCTTAATGTTGGATATGAGGTTCTGATCCTCGGACACCCGAGGATGGATTGCAACAAGTAACCCATCATAGCCATTGTCTTGAAGCTGCACTCCGACTCCCAAGAATAGGAGCTCTGGACTCAGGGCCACCAGGAGAACCATAAACTTCAGGCTGCAAGTAGGACCCACATGGTCCCTGTGTGTCATGATGTCAATGAGCCTCCGATTTACTCACAGTGATCCTGCTGGGTCCATTGTGCCAAGATGTTAATGGGGAGGCAGTTAGTTTCTTCCTGAACTCGGAAGGTCCTGGAACTTGTGATAAAGGAGTTACCTCCTTTGAAAAATGTGGGTGGATCTTTCTGAGACCTGCCTCTACAAGTCCTTTTCCTCTGGGCCATGCCACACTTGGCTGTTCTGGGGCTGAGCTTCCTTGTGAATCAGAGTTGGGCAAGATATCTTCCATCCCTTAGTCATTTTACGTCCCTGAAGGAGGAGGGAAGTAAGGTAGGAGCTTGAAAGAAGAAGCCTGACTGGCTGGGCTGGAAATCAGAGGATCTGGATTGTTCAATCCACTTTCAGTAAAAACACAGAAATCGATAGTGATTTTTCTTGCCTCATCCTTGACAACCTCCTCCATCAGTCAGCACAGCCACTGCCCTACTGCAGGTGGGGCAGGTGAGGAGTGGCCAACTTTTCCAACCAAAAGTCATTTTTTGTTTGTTGTCAGATTCCCTTGTCTGCTTATTTTGAATATTTGGAAATCTGTCTTACAAATCTGTCCCTGGGGCCCTCAGATCATGTAATCTGGGCAAGTTCTCAGCTGACTGCTGGGGGAAGGTGTCAGATATCCCCCAGGGAGGGCCATGTGCTAGGAACACAGATGCCTGTGCAGCCCACAGAGGCCTTTCCCTCTGCCCTCACTGCCTTTTCTTTCTGGACCAGGGAAAAGAATATGTTTCTCTTTCAGCAACTCTTTCCTGAGCACAAGGCTGTGCCTCAATCACCCTTCCATCTCCCCAGGACTTATCACAGGATCTGGTATATAGCAGACTTCACAAATATGTCATAAGTGATGAATAATACCTGATAGTTAGGTAATGCTTTAGAGTCTGCAAATGAGCCCATTTAAATGTCAGTTCCCTGATCCAGGTAACATTTTGACTTCTATTTTTCAATGAAATCATTGAGTCTCAGAAAGATTAAGAAAATTAGCCATTGGGGAAAGGAACTATTACTGTGTGATGGTTTTTATCAAGCCTATTTTACGGGTTAAAAATACTAAGGCTCAGAAAATCTTAGCAATTAGGTCAAGGTTGTGCAAGTATTTTTGTAGTGCTAGAATGAGACCCTAGTGCTAAAATGAAACTCCAAATTCTCTTGTTTTTCACTATGTCATGCTGTGGTACTTTAATTAGTCATAAGAAACACATATTTGGTCATTCAAATGATTAAACCTGTATTTCCCAGATGTATTTGGTCTTCATCCACAGTTCCTGAAAACACTGCAGTCTTAAAGGTGAAAAGGTGTTTTGTCATGTTAATGAGAGACTTTTGGACCCCACTCAAGGGCAGGGGCTGGAGGCTGAAGCAGCCAATGGCCAGTAATTTAGTCAATCATGACTATGCAATGAAATCCTCACAAAAACCCCTGAGAAAGCTTATTGCTCTGTCTGCTCTGCCGGGTTGGATCCTGCTTCTCAGTTGGAGAAGCCTTTAAGCTTGGGGAACCAAAATACCTCCATGTGCCACCAAGCCAGGCCCCAAGCTGCATGAGGATAGAAGCTCCTTTATTTGGGACCATGCCCTATGTCTCTCTTCATCTGGCTATTGACTTTTATCCTTAACGGAATCCTTTATTAAACTAGTAAACCAAAGTGCTTTCCTGAATTCTGTGAGCCGCCCTAGCAAATTAATCGAACCTAAGGGGGAGGTCGTCTAGAACCTCCAATCAGAAGCACAGGTAAACTGCCTGCAGCTTGCAACCTACGTCTGGAGTGGTGGGTGGAGAGCAGTCTTGCAAGAGGGAGCCCTTAGCTGGGGAATCTGGTGCTGTCTCTGGGCAGAGAGCATCAGAATTGAATTGAGTTGAGTTCTCCAATACCCTGATGGTTTTCGAGAATTGCTTGGTGTTAGTATGTGTAGTAAAATCCCCTCCTATATTTTTACACACATTGGAATTGGGTCTGCAAACCCGAATGGAGTTTTACTACTATTACTGCTCTGTATAATATTGGTATTGTTATATATATATATATGTAGAAAAAAAAATACACCAGTGCACATGCTCTTTCATGTTCTCAAGAAATTAGACAAGAAGTGTTAAGAGCTGCTGCACTGAGGGCCAGTTTTTCTCTTGCTATCTGTCTGCTTGGAACCTCTTCTCTCACTACTTCTCATCTGCTTTTTCTTAAATCCATCTGGGCTTGGAGGCTGAGCTGAGGGTCCTTAACTAGGTCCCTCTTTTATGCTTTCATAGCATCAGATAACCTCTCCTTTGAAGCATGATCATGGTTAGAAGGTCACATTCATATTGAATAATTGGTTGTCTGCTTCGCACTGAAAGGCATGTAAGAGAAGGGGCCCTGTCTGTTTTTATTACTGCCTCTTCAGCACCTAGCTCAGTAAACTCTTGTTAAATGTTTGTTGAATGAATGATTGAATGGAGTCAGGAGAAGTAAGTAAAAGCCAAATTATGAAGGAACCCTGGATTATAGTGTGAAAATAATAAATAAGTATTCCCCCCACTTTGAAAGTATCTCTTCTAGAAGGTACCTCTTCTGTTCTGGAGCAGGTTCTCCCTTGCTCCCTCCTGACAAAAGGCCCTTGGGCATTGATGCCCCCTGGGTCGGTAGGAGAATGGAATGTTGCTGGTGAGCATGGGCTGCCAAAGCTGCTCACTCTACAGCTCAGAGATCAGCTTTGCTGTCTTGTCTTCTGGGGCTGATTCCCAGCTGTGGGTTTTTTCCCCTCACTCACATTGTATCTAGAGTGAAAACCCCGAGGTGTGGGAACTCCATAGCTTTGCCTGTAACTGAGACTTGCTGGTTAAAACTGCATTTTATTTTCAACCTTCCTAGGCAGTTTATTTTCTTACACCAATCTTGTGCTTTTAAGAAAAACATTATTCCCACCAGCAAAGCAATATGCTCAAAAATTAAACTCGTAAGCCATACTGTGAGAGTAGCTTTTCACTATTAGGGCAGTTTCCTTTTGCCACCATGCACACCTTATAAGTTGTTCACTGGTGAGAGGGTCACGCAGGGCTGACATCGAGCTCTCCCTCCACTTGTTCCCACCAAAAGTGACAGTGGCTCCTACAGAAAGTGGGGTAGAGAATGTTGGCTAGAGAGTGTGTATAGCTTTGTAATGAACAGCTTTCAGTGAACAATCTTGTCCAACTGCCCCTGAGTTAACGCTGAACAAGCAGGCTTTGCTCACCCTGGGCTGAGATTCAGGTACTGACGTCCACTCCTGTCTATCTGCTTTATGCTTCCTTCCTTCTGGAACCTAATCCCCAGGTCTGGTCACTTGACTGGACTCCACTTTTATCGTCTGACCCTATAAGATTCCCTGTCACTGAGCTGTTCTCTGATCCTGTCTTGGGAGTCACATTGACTCCTAAAAGCCTTTTACTACCGCCTCTGTTCTGACCTACCCTCAGAACCCGTTTTGTTCTCAGAAACCAGGCCTGGGGCCATGCCAGTTGAAGATCTCTTCATACTTCATTCTCCTGACCAGGCTGACCCTACAGGAGACAAAATGAAAAGCTGGGTGAAACTGACTTGGCTAAGTAACTTTATCAACAAAAAAGAATAATGTATCCTTTCATTCAAAAAGTAAGTATCACTGCTCATATCTATAGATTTTATGGTATTTGAGAAATGGAATATACCCAAAATGAGAGAAAATGGGAGTACACTGCTCAAGCATTTATTTCAATGCCATATAAATTCTAGGAATCTGCTCTGCTTTTATCTGCTTTCAAGAAAATAAGTTTTTCAATTTCAGTAACTAAAGCACATCTTCGTTCATTCACCATGGCCCCCAAAGTCTTCTCTGTGTGTTTATTTTCATTAAGTCTGCAGATAGAGACCCACCATGAAAGTGAGTAAAACATGAAGTTGGTGTCAGAGAAGTCAAGGAGATATGAGTTCTGGTGGAGTCCAGGAAAGTTTTGGATTATTACCTCTCAGGGTTCTGTTTCAGTTCTTCAGCAATCCCATTTAGAATAGGAAAGCATGGTTCACTTTGTGGCTGGCTTCTGTAAGTCTGGGAAAAGGAAATCCTGGGGCAAAATACCCCTAAAAACCAAAATCAGTCAAAGGGAGAAATAAAGTTTAAAACCCGTTTATTGCTCACAAACTGCAGTCCCAGGCTGTCTTTCTTTTCTGCTCAAGCAGCAACCACACCCACCCTCCCCCTTATCTCTCAGCTACAGATAAGCCCTCTGTGGCCCAGGTAATTACCCATTGATATGGAGATGAACTTCTCCACCCCTGAGGAAAGATGCAAATGTACTAAAGCCTACTTATTTACACCTCTGAAGGCCTGTTGATATGCAGATGTACCAAAGCCAGGTGAGAAATTCTGGAAATGTTTCAATTTTACCCACAGTCCACCCCTCCAGAAATCTCACCTTACAATTTACTCAATCCCCCTCTTCTGACCAATCTAGTAACATGCAATAGCAACAGCAATAAAATCTTGATAATCCTCAAGCCAGAGGATTCAGCCTATGCAGATTAAGTAAATGTGCTTTACAGCACAATCTCTCACTAAGCACAAAATACGTTTCTACACTTGTTTACTCATTCCTAACAATCATGCTAGATTGCTCACAAAACTTTTACCAAGCATTAGACAAAGTCAAGCCTCTTTTTAAGCATTATTTTCTTGACAACAGCAAGAAATTATAATTTTCAAGCCAGAGGATTCAGCTAGGTTCAAAGTCCCATGCAGATTAAGTTCAAAGCTTGTCTTCTAAACACCTGTTGATATGCAGATGCACCAAAGCCAGGTGAGAAATTCTGGAAATGTTTCAATTTTACCCACAGCTTCAAATCAAATGGGCAAAATTTTAGTTTTGCAATATTTATAAAACAAATCAAAATAGAAATGAGACAAATTACAAAGACTGAGAATTTGAATAAAACATGGCATTTCCAAGGACCCAAATGGCACATTTCACCCCCCTTAACTCTGGGGAGAAAATCCCAGGCAAATACTTTGAAACCAAAATCAGTCAAAGGGAGAAATAAAGTTTATTTTTTACAAGCAGTCATCCACTTCTGCTCCCCAAGGTCTCTTGTGACCAGGCTGCA